AGGTTTCCTGAATACAATCAAACACTCTGAGGGACACAGCAGTAGAGGTAGGGGTCAAGGGACCATGCTTTCGGGGGACATCTAGGTCAACTGGCATAACAAAGCTTATTAAGAAAATGTTCTGCATCCTACTTTGGTGCGTGGCGTCTGGGGTCTTAAAGGCTTGCAAGCGGCCATGTAAGATGCATCAATTGGTCCCAACCACTTGGAGTAAAGGAGAATGAAGAACACCAAAGATACAAGGAAAGCAGGAGCGCAAGAGACAGCAAGGGCCACATAAACCGGAGACTTCATCAGCCTGAGACCAGAAGAACTAGATGGTGCCTAGCTACCACCAATGACTGCCCTGACAGGGAACACAACAGAGAGTCCCGGATGGAGCAGGAGAAAGGTGGGATGCAGAACTCACCAGACTTAATAGTCTGACTGAGACTGGAGGAATCCCAGAAAGCATGGCCCCTGGATTCTCTATCAGTCCAGAACTAAAATAATTTCTGAGGCCAATTCTTTAGACAGGGATTGGACTGGACTGTGGGACATAAAGTGATACTCATGAGGAGAGTGTCTCTTAGCTCGAGTAGATACAGGAGACTAGGTGGGCAGCTTCTGTCCGGAGGTGAGATGGGAAGGCAGAGAAGCTTAGGAGCTAGCTGAATGGACATGGGGAATCAGGGGTAGAAAGGAGGAGTGTGCTGTCACAGTATGGGGAAAGCAATTAGAGTCACATAACAATGTATGTATAAATTTTTATATGGGAAAAAATTAAAAAAAAAAAACAAAAAACCCAAAGTTCAATGAGACTAAGAAATTTACCCGAGTTTGTAGTTATTAAATGAGCTGGGCCTGGATTAGAGCTCAGGTTTGTTTACAAAGCTCCAGCTCCTTCCACTAGAATATGTGTACCCTACAGAAATTGCTTAATGTTTCCAAAGCCCCTGAGGCCAAACTGCTTGCTGATCATTACATTATATACCCGAAAGAAAAATCCCATTTATAACACTGACCTACTGTATGCTGTTTGTGCTTACCTCATGGGTACATCCTTCAACAGTTTCAACTGCTTGTACCTTAACTCTGGGCATCAGGTCTGCCAAACTTAAAAAAATTGTTTACGTTACACAAAAATAAATTATTTTACTATAATTAGATAATAAGCATCCCAAATGTATTGTTAAGGAAAATGACACTGCCCAATTATTATTATTTCAAATTTGAAAAACGTTCACTCTTAAAAATATTTAAAAATTTTTCACATTACACAAGTGTGCGCTGAGAATTCAAAATGGTCAGCAAACGTCTTTTGTTACAAATGAAGAATATACAGGCAGTCGTTGGATTACAAATGAGTTCCGTTCCTAATAATTTGTATGTAGGTCAGAACAGTTAGGCACAGTTCGTATCTAACATCAGTTAGTCTAATGTTTGTATACGATATATAGCGTACCTGTCTATGCATAAAGAATACACTAAACATACACTAAACATCAAGATACACTAAAATGTCTTTAACATAATACAATAATAATAAAGTTTTGATGGTGTTGCAAAGTAGCACCTGTTTGTTATTACAAACCATTGTATGTACCTTGAATTTTTAATGTAATAGGCTTTGGTTAGTGACTACGGGCTGGACGGACAGATGTTCATAACCCGGGGACAGCCTGTACTGCCAAATAGGTTATTCAAAGAATTAAGTTAGCTTACTTTCAATGGTTATTCTGAATAAAAAGTAGCTCTACAAAGCACTGTCATTAATTCAACACAGAAAATTGGTTATAAAAGCCATTACATGATACCAAACGAAAACTCGTTGCCATTGAATAGATTCCGACTCATAGTGACCTAAAAAACAGAATGGAGCTGCCCCATAGGGTTTGCAAGGAGTGGCTGGTGGATTCCAACTGCTGGTCTTTTGGTTAGCAGCTGAGCTCTTAACCACTGCACCACCAGGGCTTACGCTACATGATGGAAAATATAAAATAAACTAGCCTAATTTAGAGGTTGCTATCATTTATAAGAGTGTTCATGATTCTCATTAAAATCTTATGTTATGCTCATCTAGGTTCTCTGTTCAGACTCTGACAAAGGGCATATGATTGTAATTAAGTTAAAGAAAATAGATGTAATTCTGTGCTAGATTCATTATTCTTATTTACTGTACTTCTGATTTTTATTTAATATGCAATAATACTTGGGATAAATAAAACCCAAAAGTTACTATAATAAGCAACAATGATTCTGAATTAGCAATACTGCTTTGTAATCTACTCCATCAGCTTGGGCAAATGATGCATATTAAAAATATTTCAGTGACACACCTACCACCATTTATAGTAGCTAATTTTACTAGCTGTAACAATAGCTAACCGGTTTTAAAAAATCCCAGAAAGAATATACTTTTCATGGTAGTGTCAAACTAGAATAAGGGAAGGAAGAAGGAAGAAGCAAAGCCATGAAGATCATTGCCACAAAAAGAAAGAGGTAAGGAAATCTAAGAAAGTAGCACCAACTTTTATAAAGTTCCAATTTCAAAACTGGAGGAACAGCAACTATTTCAGTCACAGATATCCAGGGGCCTTCCTCACTGACAGGCGTCTTGAGATTCATAGCCTCTCTGCAGCTACATGGGACACTGAAAATCTAATTTCTCCTAATGTTTCTTCTTACTGATTCCTTCCATTGAGTCAATTTTACTCTTTCATTCCACTCTTCTCCAGTGATTCTCTTCTTGGGACAGTTCACAAATAAAGGAAACATACACTCTCTTCTTTTAAAAAATCAGGCCTTAAGATTCTTTCTCTGAACTGGATTCTAAAGTATTAAAAATCTGCTTCCTTAAAGATTAAAAAACCAAACTCATTGCTGTCGAGTCGATCCCAACACATAGCAACCCTGTAGGACAGAGTAGAACTGTCCCACAGTGTTTCCAAGGCTGTAAATCTTTACAGAAGCAGAATGCCACGTCTTTCTCCTGTGGAGTGGATGGTAGGTTCAAACCGCTGACCTTTCAGTTAGCAGCCAAGTGCTTTAGCCACTGCACCACCAGGGCTCCTTACATAAAGATTACAGCCTTGAAAACTCTATGGGACAGTTCTACTCGGCCCTACAGGGTGGCTATGAGTTGGAATAGACTTAATGGCATACAACAATAACAATTTTTATGACAATGGGAATACTACCTTAAGTCTTCAGTTATTGACTCTTCTATTCTGATCTTCTTTCCGTAAATGGGTTCATCTGTGCTTTCGAAATCTGCATCTCTCTTTTTTCCACTATTAGTTGACTCTGATTGTAATTTAACATCAACACATTTCCTGAGAAGAAAAAAGTTTAGAATGAATTTTCCATTATCAGTTCTTACTTTAACGGTGACTCCATAAATATTTTTTCATATGTAATATATACAATTAGAAAAAAAAGTCATATAAATAGATGAATATTACAAACCAAAACTGTTTAAAGTCCAGAATACTCCAGTAAATAAAACTGATTGTTAATCCTTTTACATTTCATGTTTTCTTGAAATTTCATTTTAAAAATATTTTAAACCTCACATTAACATAACCATTAATGTAATTTTCTTTAAAATTGCAAATCAAAATACCATCAAACATTTCATGAGCACCATCAATAAATATTTAATGCTTACTCTAATGGCATGACATTACTCTTTGGGAGAAAACTGTTGTGTGTGTGGCCAAATTAGGGACAATAGATGGTGTTTGGTGAACTGAATATCCATAGAGGATTTGAATCTGACTGCTATCCTCATCATACACGAAAATCAATTCCAAGTGGCTTTTAGATCTAATTATGAAAGGTGTAAAAACCACAAAGCCCCTAGAAAAATGAAAAGGGGAAAATTATCTTCGTAACTTCTTCAACAGGATATAAAACTATTAACCTAACAGTATGATAAACTGGACTACATTAATTTCAAGAATGTCAAAAGAGTGCCATTAAGAGAGAAAAGAGGCAAGACAAAGAGTAGAAGAAGATATTTAAAACACATACAATTGATAAAATATGTATCTAAAATACCAGGGGCAGGGTCTACAAATCAATTTTCTTTAAAAACACAACCCAACTAAAAAACGGGCAAAAGACTTAACAGATACTTTACAAAAAAGATATCCAAATGGCCAATAAGTATATGAAATGGTCTCAACATCATTACTTATCAGGGAAACGCAAATTAGACTATATCAAAGGAGTCTGTAAACTTTTTGATCTCAGAACCCCTTCCCAATCTTAAAAATTATTGAAGATTCTAAAGAATCATTTCTGTGGTTGTATCTACAGATAGTTTCCGTATTAGAAATTAGAATTGAAAAAGTTAAAAATATTTACTTGTTAATTTTTAAAAACAATAATAAATCCATTACACTTAGCATAAATAATATTTTTTATAAGACTACTTCCTCCCACACCCCAAATTTTTATTAACGAGAAGAGGGACATAGTTTTACATTTTTGCAAGTCTCTTTAATGTCTGGCTTAATCGAAGGCAATAGGATTCTCATATCTGTTTCTGCTTTCAATTTGTGATACACTGTTCATACATTGATTGAAGTATATGACGAAAACCCAGTCTCACACATATAATTGAAAAAGAACAAGAGTATTTTAACACTCTTTTCAAATAATTATGAATATTCCTCTTTAACCCTACACCAAAAATTGACCACACTTTGAGAACCACTGTTACAGTTACCGTCATGAATTTCACAAGGTTGAGCCAAAGCCTTGCAAAAGAACATATTTTGTGAGTTACCATCCCACCCTGACATTACTGGCACTAATCAGAAAAACAAAAAATAACAAACGTTACTGAGGTTGTGGGGAGATTGGAACTCTTATACACTGTTGGTGGGAATGTAAAATGATACAACTACTTTGGAAAATGGTATGGCACTTCCTCAAAAAGCTAGATATAGAAATATAAGCATATTTCATTTTATTGCGTTTTGCAGATATTGAGTTTTTTACAAATTGAAGGTCTGTGGCAACCCTGCGATGAGCAAGTCTGTTGGTGCCATTTTTCCAACAGCATGTGCTCACTTCGTGTCTCTGTGCCACATTTTGGTAATTCTCCCAATATTTCAATATTTTTCATTATTGCTGTATCTGTTATGGTGATCTTTGATCAGTGATCTTTGATGCTACTATTGTAATTGTTTTGGGGCACCATGAACTGCAGCCATAGAAGACAGCAAACTTAATCATTGATAAATGTTGTCTGTGTTCTGACTGCTCTGCCAACCGGCCGTTCCCTGTCTCTCTCCCTCTCCTAGGGCCTCCCTATTCCCTGAAACATGACAATACTGAAATTAGGCCAATTAATAACCCTACAATGGCCTCTAAGTGTTCAAGTGAAATGAAGAGTCACACACAACTCTCACTTTAAATCAAAAGCTAGAAATGATTAAGCTTAGTGAGGAAGGCATGTCGAAAGCCAAGACAGGCCAAAAGCTAGGCTTCTTGCACCAGTTAGCCAAGTTGTGAATAAAAAGGAAAAGTTCTTGAAGGAAATCCAGTGAACACATGAATGATAAGAAAGCTAAAAACAGACTTGTTGCTCATATGGAGAAAGTTTTAGTGGTCTGGGTAGAAGACCAAATCAGCCGCAACATTCCCTTAAGCCAAAGCCTAATCCGGAGCAAGGCCCTAACTCTTTTAATACTGTGAAGGATGAGTGAGGTGTGGAAGCTGCAGAAGAAAAGTTTGAAGCTAACAGAGGTAAGTTTATGAAGTTTAAGGAAAGAAGCTATCTCCATAACATAAAAGTGCAAGGTGAAGCAGCAAGTGCTGATGTAGAAGATGCAGTAAGTTATTCAGAAAATGTAGCTAAGATAATTGATGAAGGTGGCTACACTAAACAACAGATTTTCAGTGTAGATGAAAACAGCTTTATATTAGAAGAAGATGCCATCTACGACTTTCATAGCTACAGAGGAGAAGTCAGTGCCTGGCTTCAAAGCTTCAAAGGACAGGCTGACTGTCTTGTTAGGGGCTAATGCAGCTGGTGACTTTAAGTTGAAGCCAATGCTCATTTACCATTCTGAAAATCCTAGGGCCCTTAAGAATTATGCTAAATCTACTCTGCCCGTGCTCTATAAATGCAACAACAAAGACTGGATGACATCACATCTGTTTACAACATGGCTTACTGAGTATTTTTAAGCTCACTGTTGAGACGTACTGCTCAGAAAAAAAAAAGATACCTTTCAAAACATTACTGCTCATTGACAATGCACCTGATCACTCAAGAGCTCTGATGTAGATGTACAAGATTAATGCTGTTTTCATGCCTGCTAACACAATATCCATTTTGCAGGCAGCCCATGGATCAAGAAATAATTTCAACTTTCAAGTCTTATTATTTAAAAATTTCATTTTGTAAGACTATAGCTGCTATAGATGGTGATTCCTGACAGATCTGGGCGAAGTAAATTGAAAACCTTCTAGAAAGGATTTCCAGAATAGCAGCATTCTAGATGCCATTAAGAACATTCATGATTCATGGGAGGAGGTCAAAATATCAACATTAACACGAGTTTGGAAGAAGTTGATTCTAACCCTCACGGATGACTTTGAGGAATTCAAGACTTTAGTGGAGGAAGTAACTACAGATGTGGTGGAAATCACAAGAGTACTAGAATTAGAAGTGGAGCCTGAAGATGTGACTGAATTGCTGCAATCTCATGATAAAACTTTAACAGATGAGGAGTTGCTTCTTACGGATGAGCAAAGAAAGTGGTTTCTTGAGATGGAATCTACTCCTGGTGAAGATGCTGTGAACACTGTTAAAATGACAACAAAGGATTTAGAATATTACATAAACTTAGTTGACAAAGCAGTGGCAGGGTTTGTGAGGACTGACTCCAATTCTAAAAGAAGTTCTACAGTGGGTAAAATGTTATCAAACAGCATTGCATGCTACAGAGAAATCTTTCATGAAAAGAAGAGTCAACTGATGCGGCAAACTTCACTGTTGTCTTATTTTAAGAAACTGCCACAGCCACTCCAATCTTCAGCAACCACCACCCTGATCAGTCAGCAACCATCAACATCGAGGCAAGACCCTCCACCAGCAAAAAGATTACAACTTGCTGAAGGCGCAGATGATGGTTAGCATTTTTTTTAGCAATAAGGTATTTTTTAATTAAGGTATGTACTTTTTTTAAAGACATAATGCTATTTGCACAATTAAGAGACTACAGTATAGTGTAAACATAACTTTTATATGCACTGGGAAACCAAAAAGTCGTGTGACTTGCTTTATTGCATTATTCATTTTATTGCATTGGTCTGGAACCAAATCTGCAATATCTCTGAGGTATGCCTGTACCATATGATCCAGCAATCCCACTCCGAGGTATATAAAGAAATAAGAGCTGTGACACAAATAGACATATGCACACCCATGCTCACTGCAGCATTATTCACAATAGCTAAAAGACGGAAACAACCTAAGTACCCATCAACAGAAAAATGAATCAACAAAATGTGCAACATACACACAATGGAATACTACCCAACGATAAATCATAACGAATCCACAAAACATCTCACAACATGGATGAATTTGGAGGACATCACGCTGAGTGAAATAAGTTAACCAGAAAAGTATAACTGTATGAGATCACTACTATAAAGTAACAACCAAAGGTTTACACATAGGAAAAAAGGAAAGAACATTCTTGATGGTTACCAGGAACAGAAGGGGGAAGGAAGGAAAACTACCAATTAGATAGACACGAGTCAATATTGGTGAAGAGAAAGGCAATACATAACATGGGGGGAAGTCCGTACAACATGACCAAGGCAAGAGAGGACACTGAAAGGTATGTAAGAATAAAGAGCAACTACAGTAACTACAACAGCTTAGACAATCCTGCAGCAATAGTATTAACAATAATTTATAAAATGACAAACAGGTAGGTAGATACGCCAAGAGGTGTGGGAGGATGTAAGAGAACACACCCATCGGCAGATATAGGTTTGGTGGTAGATATTTCTATATACGTGATTGTAGGTGCAGCTTATATGGAGCACACAAGGGGTAAAGTCAGGGAAACTTCTTAGATATAACCAAACACCTCACAGGATAAACTTCCTAGGCTAGAAGACAAAGGACCACAGATTTGGGGGATATCTATGTCAACTAGCACAAAATAGCACATAAAGACAATGTTCTGCATCCTACTTTGGTGAATAGCGTCTGGGTCTTAAAAGCTTTTAAGCGGCCATCTAAGATACAGCTATTGGTCTCTTCCTGTCCGGAGCAAAGGAGAGTGAAGGAGACCAATTA